GTTCACTTTTTTTTTTTTTTTTTTTTTTTACAAAAAAGCCGACCTTATACATCATCCTCCTGGAGCTGCTTACGTGTACAACTGTTGGCACAAGCTATATTAAAGTGATTATTACGTTTTGAATATGGATACTTTTCTTACAAAAACGCATCGATTCGCTACAGGAGGCCTTTATATAACTCCGACTGGATTCGTCTGAAAGAAGAAAGTCATATACACCTAGGATGCCTCGGGGGTGAGTGAAACATTTTCATTTTTGGGTGAACTAACCCTTTAAGTGGCCTATTATTTCATTAATATTATTATTATCTGCAAGTACAGTTTTTAAAAATATATACTTTCAAGATTTGAAGTACACTACAATACAGTTAAGTGTAGGCCTACTCCTTTTTCACAGGAGCTTTTGCTATATTCCAAATCATCTGAAGCCATATAGTTTTGTGTGAGGAAAAGACCACATTTTGGAGCCTTACAGCCCTTGTTTTCCATATACTTTTGCTGTACAAAGAAAAATCAGCATGAACATTCTGCCGAACATCCCGTTCACTGAAAAAAAAAAGTTTGGAAAAACATGAGTAAATGCCAATTTTAATTTTGGGGTGAACGGTCCCTTTAATAATTTAACACAGTGAAATGCAGTTACTTGGATAAGAAATTAAACCGGTCAAGTAATGAAAACGTAAACCAAAGCTGTTATAATGCAACTGTGCAGTAGCAAAATCCAGTTGGAAATGCATTGTTGTTGGGGCCTCTGCAATTAACCAATCAGCAGCTGCTGCAAAGGCAAATATCTCCCTGACCAGCCAATCAAAAGCCTCAGTCCAGAGTGTCTTACTTGCTCACTCTGAGGGGGGCCAACAGAATCATTAGTCACAGCGGGTTGATCTGTGAGACTGGATGGATCTACGTCTTTTGTAAGCTCCTGTGAATGGCACAATGTCTCTGGAGTCAACTACAATGGCTAAATTATCTCTCTTTAACAATGTCTATCTAAAGGTGAACAGCACATTTTCTAGGCCATGAGTGGCACCAAACTGAAATGTAATGAAATTAAATGTCTCTAAATACAGAAATCACAATGAATCTTCTTATTTGTGAACTAGCACACAGGTAAAAAGAGGGATGCCTCACCTGATCAACCTCGCCCTGGGTGATAGGTTGAGTCTGAAAGCGGGCGTTGGCTCTACGCTGGCGTGTGTCAGGACGGGGTCCGTTTGCTGATTGGCCAGAGGGTTGTGACAAGCGACTGAATAATGCCATCTTCTCAGAAAGGCTTAGTGTTGATAAGTCCGGCTCCTCAGGCCCCAAGTCCTCTTCTTCCAGAACCGCCTCCTTTGAAACATCATCTTTTTCCTGCTCATGGTGGGTCGATCCATGTGCTGATGATGCCTGCAGACTGGAGGAGAATTACAAGTTGTTATGCTATAATAAAGTACTGCACACAGAGTGATCGAGACCAGTCCGGCTGCTAACAAAACTTCACAAAATAAATCTTAAACAATTATGGTAAGTATCCCAGTGAATATCCCGGTAAGTAATCCAGTTTGTTCATTAGTCAGACCTAATCAGACCTGTGAGAGCAATATGACACATTTTATACAGTCAGCCAATTAAGAACATGACAATCATAAACGACAATGCTGGGGAATGTTACTTTTAAAGAAATGTGTTATATTATTCTTTTAAAACCAATAAAAAACAACTAATTATACTACATAGCTGTATAGAGATAGTAACAAATATTTACGTATACTGTAACCGGTTGACCAGAACAAAATTTCTTTCACAATTTGTGTTATACTTTGGAAAAATATTTATGTTTGTACCCATGAAGGAGTGTTGTTTGTTTGTTATTGTGTTAAAGTTCACAACAAGAAAAAAAAAGAAAAAAAGAAATTGAGCACTAAATCATTAGCTATGAGATGGCAACTATGTTATATGTAGACTGAATCAGTGAGGGTCTGTTGTATCAATAAGATTGTGTAAGTTTCACCCTATTAAAAACAAACAAACTGAGTTCAACTCACTGCCTGGCCAATGTTCCAGTCCAGTTCATGTCCAGACATAGGACTCACAAGCATTGGTGTTGTGCTCTTGTACTTAATTTAATTTCATTGATTTGCGATCTCTTTTCCTTTCTAGTTTAAGTAAATCTCTCACCCTCTGTCACTCTTGTAAAGTTGTTGGCAGACGGGTGACACCCCTGACATTTCAAAGCACACAGAGAATGCCAAATGTGTTTTGCTACTTAGCATGTGACTATTTACAGCTAATCTGGGTGACCACGCGCTGATGTAGACACCCAAAACATCTGCACATGCTCACACACATTAATATACTCTTACTTTTTCATACAAACAGGCACTTGCTCACATTTCAAAATACAGGAACTGCATAACCTCATAATTACACGCCAGACATTCTCTTTTCACACTTCCAACAACAATTTACAACAGTGCATGAATGACAAATCCACCAGCAGATGGTGCACTGGCACATGAACATTCCCACTGAGACGTGCAACATTTTGAGAACCGATTAATCCAATGCACCAGTCAATGAATGAACTGGGTAATTGGTCTCTTTCTTCTAAGTATGGTCTAAATGCTCTATTAATATGCAATCACGCTGTCGAAGAACAGACCGTTCTGTTTCCATTAAAAGTCCAAGTCAAGCAATGAACAAATTAAGAAACAGCATGCAGCTCAAGACGACAAGGCCTACAGTATATACTCATTTATACACAATAACGCATACAAAATAAAATGAAGCATTCAAATGATACCTGAAACTAGTCATGGATGTGCTGACTACAGCGGGACTGGGGATTCTGGGAGCAGTGGTTTGAATAGTGATGACTTGGGAAGGGGGAGCGGGGGAACTTTAGAAGAGGACATAACAAAAATAATGTAGAGTGAAGTGAACAAGAATCAGTTCAAAAGTAGGGGTCAAAGTCAGGGTCAAAGTAAAATTTTAAAGCAATGAGTCATTCAGCATCAAACAAGTGATTATGGGAATGCGAGTAGTCAATGATGAGTATAACTTTTTAAAGGAATAATTCACCCACAATAAAAAGTCTGGACCACAAGCTCCAAACATGACATAAAAACACTAAAAGTAGTGTTGCTACTTTTAAAAGTAACACTTTTGGTAAAAGTGTTACTTTTACCAAAAGCTTTATGGAGTTTTACAAATACAACACAAAATTCATGTTGTTATTTGTTGATAATTCTTACTTCTTCAGAATTATTTTTGTGTTCCACAGGAAAGATGACAACATGAAGTCAACAGATTTTGTCACTTCTTGCCAAACTATTTCTTGAAAAATTGCAGGGAAGTGATTTAATGATATGAAACTAGATCCTTTACATCACAAAAAGTGACTTACGTAGCAGCAATGACAACTTCCTCTGACGTGACCGGCTGTGTCCGTGACCGATCCTGCACACGTCTGAGTCTCCGCTCAACCGCAGCATTGCGTGATCGAGGTTTGAGGACACCTCCCTCTGAAGTCTTCTCCAGCTCCTGCAAGACAGGACCAGGAGAGGTAAAAAAAGTCTGGTTATGCATACAATGGTAATATTAACTACATTAACTTACTAAATTTATTGACTCTTTTATGCTATATATATTGAGTACATATGTTTTTGTAAGCATTAGGTTCATGTGATATTTCTAATATATATATATATATATATATATATATATATATTTAAGTTGTGTATGCTACAGAGATTTGATACCCTGAAAAGAGACCTCTTGGCTGCCACGCTCATTTTAGCTCGTTCATCCATTTTTTCCTCATCCACTGGACAAAAAAAAATAGGATTAAACATGAGTTACTCAATATTAACTTTGTTTATAGAACTGTAGTGTAAAAGCATGACTATGACCAAATCACTGCTGAGGATATTTGGTACAACAGTTTGTTTGATATCGTTTAAATTTTGACTCACATTCTGCATGATGAAGCTCTGGACTAATACGGGACCTAAAGATAAAAGTACAAAAAGAACAAAAATATTTGACCCTGATGATTCAGTTGTTGTGGTATGATGACTAAAGAAAAGAAAAATTAACTACTTAGCCAGAACTAAAGCAAATTTCTAAAAATGCTTTCATATCAAAATTCAGATAAGAAGTATATTTATTAAAAGACTGCGGAATACCAGAGCACAAAAAACAGTGACAATTTACCACTAATGATAAAAAATTGCAGTTTCAGTGTAACCCCCGACTTCCTGTTTCACTGTACCTATCAGACTCCAGCCTTTCAGCTGATGTAATTGGCTGGGTTCTAAACCTCTCAGATGACTTCCTGTCATCACCAGGGGAAATGTAACGTCTGGGTCGACGTGCTCCTCTCTCGCGGTCACTGCTGGCAACTGGATCACGCTCTGTGGGAACCTGGTCTCCTTTAGACTCCCTTTGTTAGACAGGAAAGATTGTATTAACAAAAGACAACTTTTTTGTAGAATTAGTTTAGTATGGAGCCTCTAAAGCAACATTTGCAGAAAAAAATCCCTAAGACTTTTTTTTTGTGCACACAAGAAAATTCTCATGTGCACACAAAAGTCTCAAGGCACTTTAGGGGCTCCAGAATGACTCTAAATCTAAACTCTAAACTCAGCAACACATCAACAAATTAATTAATACATCAAATCACACAATACATTTTATTCACAATAATAATCATGCATTTGATGAAGACAAATTTATTTGCACAATACCAATGCAAGGTTAAGATCAAACAGTTTGCACGCCTGGCAATCTACAAAATCTTGTCCTGATGTCCATACAGTTAGAGGAGATGCTAAAATAGATTTAAATTAAGTTTAGATTAAGTGATTTAAATAGGAAGTCACTGTTGAAGCTATTAGTCAATGCCAATACACCTCTTTTCAGACTTAGTTGCTAATATGCTGAGTGGCAAATTTTCAGCAATTAGATTAAACCTCTGATTGAACAGCAGCACACACATGCTTGCATATGATTATTATATTAATATTAATAATAATAACATATTATTATTAACAGAATTTTACATACAAGAGTAGGGATTATTACTTCGAGGTTAGTGGGTTTAATCATCATCTTTGATAAAGCTTTGATTTAGCATGATGACATGCCAGTTCACATACAGCTCTGGTCTGCTTCCAGAAGCATTCTCCAGGTAGGAATGTCTCAGCTTTGCCACAGAGACTCTTGTGTCCAAGGTGCCCATTTCACCATTGGCCACACCACTCGGCTCTCTAGTATGAAACCCTGTACCCATCACTATTGCAGACTCTCGACTGGCAGCACACTCCAGACTTCTCAATGCAGCAGACCGTTGAGTTACTCCAATATCTGACATGGAGCGGATTCGCACCTTTGGCCTGAGGTCACCTGCATCCTGACTCACTCGATGTTGAGCTTGTGGGAGGGAGGAACCTTTCTGCAAGTACCCTCCAATATCCCCCACCCTATGGTGTGGAAAATGCTGCTCATTGGTTAGCTGTGTGGGAGCTGTGTCCATTTCTTCAGGTAGGTGTGTGTTTAACCTCTGCTTTCCTTTCTCACATCTTTCAAAATTATCATCTGGCTGGCCCATTCGATGCACTCCTTGCACTTCCCATTCATTCAACTGGCCAATTTTACGTACCCTACGTCCATCCCAATCATCTTCTGATTGGCTTATCCTTCTTCGTCTGACATGCCCTTCTTCATTCTCTGACAGATTGATCCGTCGTCTTCTACCATGTCCTTCTGCCACTTCCTTTTGCAGCAACCTTTGGCCTTCTTGCTGTTCCTCTACCTCTTGACTGGTTTTCTTATCCCCCTGTACCAGTGGTTCAACAGACTGTACAATTTGGCCTTGTCTTCGATCAACTTCCCATTCTCTTTCTTTGAATTCGTCAAACTTCCTGACACCTCTTTGTCCCATCCACTCAAACCGGTTAGTGCTCCAATTATCTTGACCCTCCTCTTTTTTAATTTCAGCCCCTTGATTGCTTTCTTCTCTTTGCTCAATCTTCCTTGTACCACGTACCACATCTTCACCTGTGAAACTATTCTTTGTGCCATTATCTACCTGTCTTTCTTCAGATCGACTGGTTCTTCGGTCATCATGCTGTTCTTTGTCTTTTATTAGACATATTACCTTTTCACCTGTTATTGTTCCCTCCTCCATCTGAGCAATTCCTCTTCCATTAGGCCCTTCCCTTTCTTCCAACTGGTGCAACTTTCTTCCACCTCTCCCCTCCATTTCCTCTGACTGGCTGATCCTTCTGATTCTCCGAATTTCCAAACCTTCATCAGTTTGTCCACGCATGGGATCATCCACACTCTTTTGCCGGCGGCGGATCTCTGAGGGTAGCACAGCCTTTCTGCTCCTAAGTAACCCTTCTGAGGCTGGATCCTTTCTGGATGCTGATCGACCTTCTCTGTGAATGGTCTGAATGTGATCAGCACTAGCCCTCTGTCTAGTCTCTTCATCCTCTTTGTCAGCAGATGTCGAACCAGGTGCGGTCAAGCGTCCCTTGGGGTCCAGCATCTCAGACTTACCAAGTGAAGGTCCAGGAACAGGGTGAGCTGCATGAGCATTTGAAGGTGGGCATAGAGGGCTAGGTGTATAGGAAGGAGCTGAGTGAACAATTTGTCCATATGCTGGAGGTAGTGCCTGGACTGAACCATACTGCAGAGGTTGGCTGTGACCATAATGGCCATGTGACGGACGTGAATGCAAGGTGTGTTCATGTTCGTGTAGAGGCTTCTGAGTAGGTGCATGTGCTTGAGCTGTTTGGCAAGTATCCCGATCCAAAGGCACTGGTTGAAGGATAGCCCGATACTTGTGTACATGTGGTGGGGCAACTCTGGGACCAGGTGATGGCTGCTGGAGATTTTTGTATTCTGGGTGTGGTTGTTGGGAAGGTCTGTGCATTTGTGATGGTTCTTGAACATCTTGACCATCTCGCCTTGGTAGGGATTGCTTGATTTGCCTAAATCCAGGCTGATGACCCATGGTGCTAGGGTGTATACCAGGACTTTGTTCATAGTTTGGGGGCTCTGCACTTTGGGCATGCTGATGATTTCCAATTTCACATGAAGCTATGTGTTGAAAGGCAGGTGAAGCCATACTGTGAGTACGCTGGAATCGTGGCCGCTCCACACTATGTGCCCTTTGTTGACGGGTCTCCGCTCCCTGATGCGGTTGTTGGATTGGGGTTTCGGAGCTCTGTGTTCGTGGTTGGTTTGCAGATTGAGGTCGTGGAGCTAAATATGGAGGGGCAACTGTTGGATTACGTCTGACAGAGGATGCATCTGGCCCTGAATCAGAACCCCTTCCCGAGATGTCCTCCCTTGTTTGTCTCTCTCTTACTCGTATTCTTAATGAAGGGAGGAAAGAGAGGAATTAACATTCATCCAATTCATAAACATGACCTACTATCATCCTGAGAGAAAGTGTCATCAAAATCATTAAAGATAATGATAGATTAAACATTTTTGCCCCACAGATCAAGGACAAGGACCACCACTTCCCTCATATTACAATAGTATGTTTTAATTATTTACAGCTAGCTTTTGCCTGAAATAAATATGTTGAACAAAGTGGGGAAAAAAATAAACATTCTCAGATTAATTTCTTCAGCAGCTGGAAAGCAAAGTCCTTTTATTTACAACCCTTTGATAGACTAATATAAAAACATTAACAAGCAATAGTGCCTTGGTAACCATTTATGGTTACTTGTAACCATTTAATAGTAACCTCTCAACCAGCAGTGACTCCATGACACACAAATTAGCTCCACCTGTTATATGTTTTTTGAGGTGACAAACTGAAAAGGAATGAAGCCAAAGTTCATTGTTAGGTGCTGGTCTCTGGTGAGGGGCAAAGGTCAGTGGTTAATAAAAACAAAGTGGATAGAGGAGGGGGATTAACAAGGGAACTGTTTGCCAAATTCTACGATGACTGCATATGGAGAAAGTCAAGGTATGAAAACTAAAGTGTACAAATGTATATTTGTCTTCATGGACTTCATAGGATATAAGGTCAAATGTTGGAAAATGTTGGAGTTAGCGGGTCTACTGGGGAAATTTAAAGGGTTACACTCCCACTCTGATACCTGGATGGCCAGTTGATTTGTGAGTGTGTTTCACTGTCCATGTCTCTCCTGAGGGACCACTCACTCTGAGAGAGAGCTGCCAAGCTAAAGAACACAGAGGCCCAGACCCCAGTTATCACAGTAACATCATCATGACATTCAGCACTAGAACAAAACACACCTGTAGCTTTACCAATCCTCAATGAGATTGTAGATGGTGACCATTGTGATGTCACAAATACTGTAAAACATCTGTCCACTTTTCCTGACTGTTTCCTCTCTTTCTTGTTGTATAGATATTTAGTTTCATATATGGTTCCTCAATTAGTCTCTGTCATCATTACTGCCTTATAGGCCTTCATTTAAGTATGATGATCTAATTAGTATGGACATCTTTCGCCTCAAGTTATGTACAGCAACACTTCAGATAGAACACATGCACCTGTACTTGCATATAAAAGTTATAAAGTTATGTCTTTAAAAAATATTGCAGAGATCAGAAACAGTCACAATGACATACACAACCTGTGAATCAATAAATCTGAAAATACAAGTCACCTAGTCTGACCCTCTGTGTTTTAAAAAGAAATGTATTGCTGTTCTCTACTGATCTCAAGATAAATGTTATGAATGTCTGAAAACAACCAATTACAGTCATACTAAATAATGTGCGTATCTCATCCACTACTATGGGGAGACTAAGCCTTGAAAGTAGGGGGCCATGCAGTATCTTTCAGCAGAGCTTCAGAGTTAAATTCTTGCTGATGTCCAGTGAACAGTTCAACATATTTCACCCCAGCTCACCAGCTCTCAGGCATAACTGTGAACCTGACTAAACACAAAAGCTGGCCCATTCAACATTTTTACCAGGAGCATGTTCAAGAGATTCAGCATTATCCGAGTAAGGCAAAAAACAAAAACAAAGCATTAGTCCTTGCCGAGGTCCACCACTTCATTGGAAGATAGATGATGGCAACTGTTAACCCTGTTGCTTTTACTTGCTTTATAGAATGATTTCCAAAAAGCAAGCAAGAGCTGAGATCTTGAATTTCTCATTTTCTGAATGAAAATCTCTTTTCTTTTCTTATGAGAATTTGTTGTAAATCAGTCTTTGTAAATATGCATTCCTTTAGCCATAATTCATGTACCCATTAACTTTGAGGCCTTCAATAGCATTCCTTTAAAATAAAGGTTAAAAAAAGAGCAAGTTGCATACTAACTTGCTGTTTTAAAAGGAAGTATGCCAACACAGGAAGAAAATAACACACCAATCAAAATCAGGGTCCTCTAACACATATATTTTTAAGATCCAGAACTCAGTAAACATACTTACCCCTGTCTGTTGAGGATATTTTGAGCTTGTTGCTCGATGAACAGGTCTCCAGGAGAGATGCCATATCGTGTTGTGGGTAACGAAGCTCTGCGTGCTGTCCTAGGAGAACTTGCCACAGTGACAACAGCGACACCCCTCGTTGGCTGGGCTGTTGTTGTTTCCATGGGAACCGGAGCTTCCTGTGGGTGTGGTTTCGGACTTCGGTCAGGTGCTCGTCTATAATTTTCCAAGTTCATTGCCCTCTCTCTCTCTCGCTCGGCATCAAAGCCTGATTGAGGAGGAGCAGGATTGGGGGCGGGGTCAGAAGGCATGAAGACCCGCCCTATACCTGAACTGCTGTATTTAGACCTGCTGCTGCTTCGGTCCCGCCCCTCATCCTGCTCTTGCAATGCCCTGCCTCTCGTCCTGCTTTCACCACGTCCCCTGTCAGGAGGAGCCCCTCTGTCCGATAGGTCAGACTCTCTCCGTGCACGTGTGTAGCGTGGTGCGTAATCCAGATCCACCTCCTGGTCGAGGAGGATTCCATAACGTTCTGATAACTGTCGCCGACGCTCAGCTTTGTAGCGCGCAATCCGCTCGGCTTTAGAGCTGAGGCTGGCTGCATCAGAACCTGCTGGGGTTGGACCAACTGGCTCAGGATTGGTGGACGACTGTGGATCTGGACGTGAACGAGCTCTGGACTGCCGCACTGGAGCTTCTATCTCATCATGGCTATAGCGCCGCACTGTAACGTAACAAATAGAGAGTGAGAAGGGAATCAACTAAATTCTACAATTTTGTGGGCACCAGATATGACCTGAGCCACTTGTTCAATGTAAATCAAGGGGATTTTTTCTAGCTGTTTTAGTGTCCAAAGTTTAAGGAGATTTATCAAAATAATAGTATAACAAATAGCAATAATCATTGTGACTCTTGCCTTAGCTGAGCACTGTACAGTATATCGTCTGCTGTGGTGACCTACCCACAATGCCTGGATCCCTGGGATCTGAAGCACGTGTATAGCGTGGTGTGTCCTCCTCCAGAAGTCGGTTGGTCACCAGGCCAGCTGTGTGTTGCATGCTTGTAGTAAGAGCAGGTGGAACATCAGCCTCAATCACCTCCAACCTTCGTGCGATTCTCTCTTTCCTGCATAAGAAGCCATTATATCCAGTGTTGGGGGTAGCGCAACATTGTGGAAGACAGAGAGCCTAATCCTGACAGTGCTTTTCATAAAGAAATCATGTAACATAAGTTACTTATAAATGTAGAATTGTATTTTCAAATGTAACATTTCTCAACGCTTCTACCTGCTTACATTGCATTCAAGGTACACATTTTAACAGTTCATGCATTCCATGGGAATCAAACCCATGACCTTCGCAGTGCTAGTGCAATGTTCAACTGTTTAAGCTTTAGGAATGCCTTATTAATTTTTATATGCATAGAAAACTTTTGCGAGTCCAAATGTACCTGTTCATTTCTGGATCACTTCTAACAGAGGTTTCAAATTGCTTCCTTAGCTCTGAAACTAAAAGACAAGTGTTTTTGTAAATATCCAACTACTTTAAAGGGGTCATATGATGCGATTTCATTTTTTCCTTTCTCTTTAGAGTGTTACAAGCATCCCTATCCTTCAACTATTTAAGCACATTGTTATCTTAGCATTTCTCACCTTTGGGCAGTACAGCAAGGATGTTTGCATCAATTTCTGCTGTACTCTTAACCAGTGATGTCCTGTCATCCACACCAAAGCTGTAAGAATAGAGAGTGCATGATTCAAAACAACAGTGCTTTAGTAAATGTGTCAATGTCAGTAGATTTAATGTGTTTAATTTCATTTTTGGTCTTTCTGGCAGTTATTTTAAGGAGACTGGAACTACAGTAAGTGTAACCCTAACCCCAAAATCCAATTGGTTAATGTTAGGAATGTTGTTCTAGGGTCAACAAGGATGTTGACCCAGGAACATGTCCTACTTGGCGTATCACAGTATATGCACTACCTGCTTGGCTATGACTCCAACCTGACTCAATATGTTGACTTTTCCAACACCTAATATCTGCACACCTTATAAAAATGGGATTTGGCACAGAGTGCCTCCAAAATTTTACACTGGCAGGTCAAGAGCAACCTTACCAATGTGTTCCCGTGTGACATTTTAAGATGAATTAGCATTGAGGATCTTGAACGTTTACTTGAATCTGACCACAGGAATAGATTAGCTGCTAAGGTATTTATACATATAAAGTTCCCCTTCACCATGGTACCAGTCCTGCCAGCCCAAACAGCACACTCCAATTACCCCTGTTTACAGCACACCCTTTGCTACACATGCTGCTATGCACAACGATTTCAAAAGAAGGGCAGCAGAACTCTAACGAGAGCTTAAACTGATTTAGGCTGCATTCGCAGAAACTTTTCAGACACATATGGAAACAATGCAAAGATGAATAACTGCCTCTGTACAACTGAAGTATTGAACATTAATGCATACCAAATAGGGTTGGGTGTCTTTTTTTTTTTTTTCGATACCGGTGCCAAATCGATACTTTTAAAATGGTTCCGGTGCCTAAACCGATACTTATTAATAAATAAATAAATAAATAAAAATTCCCCAAAGAATGATGCATTGGCCATTAGCACTATAAACACATGATGTCTGTTTCATTCATACTGGATGCCAGAGGACGCCCTCGCAAAGAAAATCAACATATCAAGTCACAGAAGTAGAGAACTCATGACCTCCAGGAAATACCTTATATGGACAAAGGCATCGCCATTATAGCTGTAACTGAGTAAACTGAACATATAAACGTTTTGAATGATAAAACAAAGACACTCGACTGCGGCAATATAGTTTATCTGAGTTATTCAAGCCATCTCTAGTATTTTCATAACAATTAAGTATATTTATAATCCATTGCTAATCGATGTATTGTTTTTAAAGTAGCCTATGGAACATATTTTCTGCCTCATTCTGTGACAAGAAGCCACATCAGATCACAAAAGGAAGCATTTGACTGGTGTTGTGGAGTAAAAAGGTTATAATGTTCTCTTTTGTTGGACAACAGGTTTATTAATGTGAATACAAGGGAAGTTTAGCTTTGTGCATTTTAATTTAAGCATGTTTAGCTTAGTTAACGGAAGGCTACCTGCTGCCATCAGAGCAAGTGTAATTACTGCATTCACGCGCTCCTCGGATGCTCTCATTTCCCGAGTTGTGCTTTTAAGTTGGAATGTGAAAACCACATGGACACTCGTACTACAAAGATTTGTTGGATTTGCATTATTATAGCTTTCCGACTTGAGTTCACGTGCATTTTCTCAGTCGGGAAATAATTTTTCACATGCAGTCCCAGTGATGATGCTTCTTACGTCCGTTTCGGAGAACCAGAGGACAAATATTTCAATCGATCGCTCTCAGGCATGGCACCGAAATGAGGCACCGAAATCTGCGTTCTGATTCGGTTCTAGTACATACCGGTTACTTAGGTACCGGTGCCATATTGGTACCGGGTTTCGGTACCCAACCCTAATACCAAAGTGCAATGGCCAATTACATCCTTGTTGTGGATTCAATAATTTATAATATTAGTAAAGAGTCCAGGTCAATCATTCCACAGTATATACTTCCTTGCACCACTGATTAAGTTAGAAACAAGCTGTGGCTAACCAGTTTAAACGTGTCCAGAAAGAATGTGCTGAAGTGATATGCTACTGTAATATGGTCAACAAATCTCACACTACATCATCACCATTCTATAAAACCCTTGTAACATGTACCAACCAATCAGAATCAAGAATTTCGACAGTGCTTAATTTAATTTTAAATTAAAATTGAACAAAATTACTATATATTTTACTGATACTGTAAATAAACATACAAATTCTGACTAGATTTCTGACTTCAGATTTTTGTTAAATACTGGTTGAATGTGTGTAAGTGACTAAAACATGTCTTTGTTCTATATTGTGTTATACTGAGGACACCAGGAACACTGATGTTTTGATTTATTTTGAACACATTAAAATGTCAAGAGCAAATTATTCTCTTTTAACAGCTTAACCAATGGAAACAACAAAAGATAACACGCATACACCCACACATACACACTCTGGGTCTGTGATGATAACAGCAGACTACGCCTCCCCTTCTCTTACAGCAATGTCTTTTTCATTGGCCAGGACTCTGCACAATATATTGATTCTTAAATCACAATTACTGACCAAAGAATCCAAAATATCTATCCTTTCATTTAGCTCAAAATGTGCATGACACAACACACAATCATTGTCCTGAAGTCCATAGTGCACAGTATCAAAAAAAAAAAAAAATTCTCTAAAAGGATTTTCAATAGCATCTTATTAACCGCATTTAGTGCTAAGTATTAAAGAACATAAAGAGATTAATTCAGTATTTAATTCAGCGAATGGGATCAGCTTTAAAACAAAGAAAAAAGGTTGGGTCAAAACAAAAAAGTCTTTAAAATTGCGAGATGAATGGATTCTGACCTTATTGCTCTTTTCTTTAGTAGTGCAGGGCTGTAGAGCTTAGCAGAAGCTTCACCAACAAAGCCTGTGAAAAGAAACAAGACAAACCCTTAAATGTGTGCATTTGTTTTTAAAACTCAATTAGAAATATCTGTCTGAGATTCTGTTACGCGTTTGTTTAGGTGTCTTTCACAACGCAATTCCCTAAATCTATCCAAAAGACATAAAAAAATAAAATGGACCATAAAGGCCTGTTCATAGTTCAAGAACTATAACAATACTTATAAAGTTTTAATGTTTGAATTAAAGTTTGAATTGTTTGATTATATAAGGAAAGGTCACACAACAATGATAACGACATGATAATGTAACAATATTGCAACCACTTTCATAACGATGAAAAAACATTGCCAATCAGAATCCACTCAAGTTTAAAGAGCTTGAGCATTTAAAGCAGCAGACAATAAAACTGCAGCGCACGCTTATAATAAACATAACATTATCGTCCTTTGGTGCGAACACTAATATAGTTATAATAAGAGATTTTGTTCTTGGTGTGAATGGGCCTTACACAAACTGAATTTGCCAGCTCAACTTGAATAATTGTGTGCACTTAAATGTAATTTAATGTTGCTTACAGTGAAGTTAAGCAACCCAAGTTCAGGAAAGACACAAATTTATCTTAGATAAAAATTTAAATGGAATATTTCTCCAGAAATATGCAACCTGTTGCCAACAATGACAAACATTTCAAACACATTCCATCTTGACTTCATGTTTTGGCCATTTAAACCCATAGTTTTTTTTTTAACCCTGTTGTACGGACAAGCTCGAGTTACTGTGTTTAACATCCTCCAGCGTGGGTCGGCTGATAAATTTACCCCCTCCAAATGCAGCACCTGGGCTGAGGAGTGATCACTTTAAGAATGAGCCGAGAGGAAAAGTTTCCATCCCAGGGTTGCCGGAGAATCACGTCAGGATGCGGACAGCCACAAATTAGCGGAGGGGAGACGAGAAGAACAAGGCATTGTCTAAAAATACTAGTTGGGGAGATCAGGGTAAAAAATAGACTCTGCTCAAAGGTCCACCCTCCTTCTTAAAACGCATGCAGTTCACAGCACAGAAAGAAGCATGTCCAGTAAACCACTTTTACACAAGGTTTGTGTAAAGGATTTTATGATCTGAAGTGTAGACAGCAAAACAGCAATTATCACGTCCTGCCATTAGCACGTTTTAACACAGTGTTGACAAACAGTCTGGGGTCATTTCATGATGAACAGTACAATCAGAGTGACAGCTGCAGGCACTACAGAGATTCGACATCAAATCCGTTGCAATTGTGAAACTTTGGCAGCTGTAATGGAGAGATGAGGCATATCTAGAGGTCACAAAATTAAGCACAAACACATAGAAAACGTCTTAGACAAACTGAGACACTAAAGGTTATTACTGTTCCACTTCAATGAGACCTGATTTAAGTTAAGCAGCTGACCGACAAGTTTTTCAGTGGCTGATGTTGATACTGCTATCAAAAATAGAGTTAAATATTACAACTTTAAAAGACCATTTTCTATTTTAATATATTTTAAAATGTAATTTATTTCTGTGATGCAAAGCTGAATTTTCAGCATCATTACTCCAGTCTTGATTGTCACATGATCCTTCAGAAATCATTTTAATATACTGATTTGCAGGCCGAGAAACATTTCTGATTTTCAATGTTGAAAACAGTTGTGCTGCTTAATATTTTTGTGTAAAGGATGATATATTTTGTGCAGGATTCAATGATGAATAGAAAGAACAAAATAACAGCATTTATTTGAAATAGAACTTGTTTATGCAACCTTGGTGAATAAGTATTAATTTCTCTTTTTCCCCCCTTTTTTTAAATTTTACCCTAAACTTTTGAATGGCTGTGTACACTGCAAATGAAATTAATTTTACACAATATTTACTCAAAATTCACGGGAAAAAAAATAAAATGTTCACACAGAACACTTAAGCCAATAACCTCAAAAAGACCATATGTTGGATGAATAATTGTCTGATATACACATTAAAGGTTGGTTGATTTTGTTTGCAAATGGATGTATGCAATTACATGTGTATTAATTTACATTCTGTTTAATTGTGCTTGTCACTATTAACCCTTTGATGGACAATCATTAAAAAAAGTCAACATGAACTGCATGGCCAAGAGTTAAATGTTGACTTAAAAATAGATGATTTTAAAAAACAGAATTTTTTCTTCAATGGTTGATGTTGAAACTTTTTTCAGGATAACAGGGTGGCTGATGGCCGATACAATTATAGCAAATAAATATTACAAAAAAGGACTTATTTTACACATTATTTCCTCAATTTCCACAAAAAAAAGCCTACTTTGTATCTGCTAATTTCAGCTGACAAGGAGACACTGACATTGTCTGTAGATTTTCTAATCATCACTTCGATCCATTTGGCAACAGTCATCAGCTGATTCAGACAATCTCAATCTGGTCAAATCAGTCTGGCTGGCAGGACTATCACTAATCACTTCTGAAGTTCAAAGCAACCTTTAGCAGCACACCACAAGAATTCAGACAACTTCTGATCAATAATCAATCTTCATTCTCAATAGAACAAGAGTAGAGCAAGAATAATATACTTCTATTTTGTACAGCTATTAAAACATTTTTTTCCAGGATCACACGATATTAAACTGATTTAAACAAAACCATCCATTCATAACTCAAACAACTTCACAATCCTTTCTGTCACGATAACTACTCAATCAATGACCCGGTAACCATTTTCACTCAAATCTCCATAAATTCAACCTCACTGCCTGGTAACAGTAACTGGGCACAAAGAGTTCAACACTTACCTTGACTACACTGTGTGACGTGGTTGAGATAGTTAGTAATCCACGGGTTATGGAACATGTTGGAATGAAAAGGAAAGAAGAATACGGAGGAAAGAGAGTAAAAGGACAGACAATCCTGATCACAGGCTCAGATGGAAGAAAAAAAGAGAGCAAGAGAGAGAGAGGGACCGCCACGGACGGACTCGATGTGATGGAAATGCACCGAGGCAAAACTGGAGGGCTAAAGCAAACACATGGGAGGGTGGTAGAGAGAGCGAGAGAGAGAGAGAGGGGGGTGCTAAAGCAGCTCACAGGCAGTAATCTGATTACAGGCAGAAATTAGTCTGGATGATAAAAGTGGATTGTGGGAGTACAGTGGATTCCTGGACTTATGACACGAGCGCTGCTACATTTACACACACACACACACACGCGTCAGCAATCCAGGAGTCACAAATACTCGGTGATGCAAAGATGAAGGTCTCTTATTAGGTCTGACCTGCCTTTAACATCTTTTAGTTTTAAAATCAAGCCAAATGAATGTGAATCTTTGTTAAAGCTGTGTTACTAAGAAAATGCTGTATTCTTACAATGCACACAAAAAAAAAGGATGTTTGTAAAAAAAAAAAATGTAGTTTTGAGCTGCTTTTTGAACTGCTATGAGCACAGGGTTCTGGGTTCTACTTCTGCTGTGTTGCCAAAGAAGTTAAGGTTTAGCTGGTTAGCATTGAACAGTTAGACCCATCCTGGTAGATGTGTTATTATTGTTTAATAAAACTAAACAAATAAAAACAAATACTGTAATTGGGGGAAAAAATATGAAATGAAAATATTAAATAAAAAAATGCTGAACAAAATTTGGCTTGAAATGTTGCCATGGCAAAAACTAAAAACTAAAACTGAAATAAAAATAAACTACACAGAAATATTCAGAAAAACGAAAAATGACAAAAACACATAACTCAATTACTTAAATAAATCGTAAAAAAATACACACAAAATTAAAGGCCAATTAAAACTATTAATAAAAACGATAATACAGTAATGCTAAAATAACGTCGGTTGCTGTATCCAACTGCATCTGGATCACGTGAAACCTTTGTCTGCACTCCCGTCCCATGTATAAAGTTAACTTTAAAGGGTCTTTATCAATCACATTGACTCCAATTGCCAATTCTTACTGAAAAATGAAAACCGCCGTCCACTATGTTGCTGCAAATCACTGTTAGCATAACATCTCTTCAGACAGAGAGAATGAAAGACTAGCCACACAGAATGCAACAAGCCCATTAACTGATACACACAGGCATACGCCAATACAACCTAATAAAACACCACAACTAGGTGTGAAAGTATTATAACAAGTTGACAGTGTCATAGTGTGCACTAGAGGGCGTACCGAGAACGGGGACCTGTGGGGTTCACTAAACAACATGGAAAACTCAGTCATGACATGAGAAGGGGCTGAAGGAAACTGTTAGCATGTTTATAGCTAGCTAACTGAATAACAACACAGCTGCTTTTACTGGCACATTTGAAAGTAACTGTCACCTTGAGTATTATTAACAGTACAATGCACATTGTGTAAAACAGGACTGCACACTTGAAATGTGCACACTTAATGTTTCTGGCTTTATTCACAGCAATTTCATATACAAAACTGACGGCAAGCATGCAGTTCAGAAAGTTATCTGATTGGAAAAGTAGCACTAATTAGAATACAATAGGTACAACTTAATACAACTACATCAACAAAAGAGTGTTTTTTCATAATTAACCCAAGTACATAAATTTATAATCCTAATTTTGAGCAAAGCTCTAAAATATAGCTACATATAGCTGTAAAAAAAATTAAACGGTTAAGTTTTTAAGAAAAGCCCAGCCATGCTAGTACGTGCAAACATGTCCATCTCTCGGTCCTCTGTCTTACTGGACCACTCAAGCTGCTGCCCTTAATAAGGCAATGTGCGATGTGATTGGCTGAGAGGCCTCAAGGGGGAGTGGCTAACTTATGTTTATCCGGCTCTGCTGTGCATGTGCTCTTTGCTTTACCACACTACCTCACTCATCTATCATATTCCTTTCACTCTTTGAAGTCATACCTCTAGGGCCTTCTGCCTTAGCTTATTCTAGGATACACACTGTACGATAAACACAATGTATACAAGATTTGGACGTAGTTATGATGAAGTAGGTGATGTTAGGAAGAACTTCGAAGAAGATATCTATTTTTTACCTGCCCTGACTGGAGAATTAGAGAGTACATTTGACACCTAAAAACACAAGCACAAATAACTAGACTCGATGCTTCCAGTAAACCAAGGAGTTATGACTAGGCTATTCTGGTAATTTAGAGGTTGGAAGCTGGTTACACAGGGCTGTGTGTGTTAGATCACATAAACCTACACACAAAAATAACCTTTAACGGAGATTTTAAGACAATATAAAATAACAGGAGGGCAATGCAGTAAAAATGGTCAAGAACACAAAAATTTGGACAAAACTAATAATGATGATGCAACAAGAAAACTAGTCTCATTCATTTTCAGCATAAACAGATTTATAACAATGTCTCCATTTACTCTTAAACTACTTTTTTTTGTATACACTACCATTCAAACGTTTGGAGTCAGTTAGGTGAAAATAATACTTTTATTCAGCACATTAGATTGAATAAAAGTGACAAAAAGACAATAATGTTACAAAAGATTCCTATTTCAAATAAATTACGTTCTTTTTCATTTTCTATTCATCAAAGAATCCTAAAAAAAATTATCACAGTTTCCATAAACATTTAAGTAGCATCAACTGTTTTCAACATTGATAAAAATAATACATATTTCTTTAAGCAGCAAATCAGTATATTAGAATCATTTCTGAAGGATCATGTGACACTGAAGACTGCAGTAATGATACAGAAAATTCAGCTTTGCATCACAATAAAAAATTCTATTTACAATATATTTAAATAGAAAAGTTACTTTGAATTGTCATAATATTTCACAATATTACTGCTTTTGCTTTATTTCAATATTGCAATCAATAACTATAAACCAATAGATTTATATGAAACTCATTTTAAACATGATTGTGTTTGTGTAATTTACAATGCTTCTAATTTTCATATACTACTTCACTTACAAAATGCAAATAGGAAAAACTAATAGGAAAACTAAAAGACAGCTGAAAAACTGAACCGTCAGTTGTGTAGTCTATGACATCACAATGAAAGCACATTCAAATCTGTGATTGATTTCATACATTCATCACTCAAGGAACTCCTAGTGCCATTGCCAAGCAACAGTCTTGTTTACATGAGACAAAGATGAACGACAGACAACATCAAAGCATTGTGGGAAGTTCCCCATTAGAACAGGCATCACACAAAAACAACAGAGATCAGTCTGAATGCTCTGACCTAAGCTCGAGATTACTAAACAAACACACCACGCTCAAACACAGACGCACACTGCTGTTACCTTGACATTTATCAGCAAGAGCCCTTCAGATCGCTGTAAAGCTCTGCGCTGTGCAGGTATGCACGAGAAACAAGTGCGAATTGATGTATACAGACACCAACAATGTCACACAGTGTGTGACAGGCACTGATGCTTAAATACAGTCCAAAATGCAATACCCTTTTGCTTGTTTCAGAGCAATCATTACAATATGTCCCCATACATCTTCCCAATTTTTGGAATTATTACTTTTGAACAAACACACACACACACGAACCATAGGAAAAAAAGGGGGAAACTTTGCAAACACCTCAAACAACAAATCTTTAACATCAATTAACAGCAATGAGCCAAAATGAGAAACATTGTCATCATTTTAAGAAAAAGACCACAGTAATCTCATGTTTGTCTTTGAGGTTTCAGAAAAGATCTCCGCAATAGCTATGTTTCCATCCATTGTCTTTGATCTTTCAAGCTGTTTAATGCCACTCAGTGGGTGTTGCATGCATCAGTCCAAAAGAAGTTAAATAAAAAGCGCCTATCCATAAAAAAAAAAAAAGTGTCTCACACGGCTCCGGGGGGGGAACAAAGGCCTCCTGTAGCGAATCGATGCGTTTTTGTAAGAAAAATATACATATTCAAAATGTAATAATCATTTTAATTTTGTCAAGAAGAATGTCGGAGGATTTTGATATAAGCCAAGAGGAGACTGGTTTTCCTTTGCTAAAGTAAGGAAACTTTGCTTCCTTTGCTCCTGTTAACAAATGTTGGTTTTCAAGAGACTCACCGGCACATGCGCAACGCTGAACTCATACGTCATCCGCCCGGAGCTGCTTCCGTGTAGGACTGTTGGCGCAAGCTACATTAAAGTGATTATTACGTTTTGAATATGGATATTTTTCTTACAAAAACGCATCGATTCGCTACAGGAGGCCTTTGTTCACCCCCCGGAGCCATGTGAGACACTTTTTTTTTATGGATGGGCACTTTTTATTTAACTTCTTTTGGACTGATGCATGCAACACCCGCTGAGTGCCATGAAACAGCTTGAAAGATCAAAGACAATTTTTAATATAACTCCCGACTGGATTCGTCTGAAAGAAGAAAGTCATTTACACCTAGGATGACTTGAGGGTGAGTAATTTGTGGGCTAATTTTCATTTTTGGGTGAACTAACCCTTTAAGAATAAAGCACCATTGCCATCCAGCGAGACGAAGAGAACAAAATCGTCACTTCCTGATAAACTGGCACCAAACATCACTGGGAATAAGGTCATTTGCTGCAGTAGGAGAAGCCACTGTGGGTCTTTTTTTCATATTTAATAAATTACTTGCACCTCAGAGTCTGCAGACGAAACAAAATAAACACGGTCATGTTTTATCTTTTGGAGGCAGATGCCTGCTGTTTGGGAGCACAGTTGTGTAAGACCGTTCTAGGAAGTTATTATACTGAAAAACTTTGACAACAGACTTTGGCTCAGGCATTTCAGAATGACCAAAACAACATTTCAGATGCTGTGTAGCGAGATTGGTCCACTGGTTAGTCCAGTTATGCCGTCCCATCGCGCAAAGTCACATGACTTTTTTGATGCGCATCGAGGAATGTATCCGGTAAATGTGTTTCCATCGTAGTTTATGTGCATGTTTTCCCTTTAAAAAAAACAAAACGTTTCCCTTTATGGAAATATAAGAGATGTCACAGTGATCGAAAAAAAAGGTCTAATCACTCCTGGAATCTTATAAAAACTCCCTTTGGTACATTTAACCTGCAGTCGCAGCA